GCTATGGAGGCTGAAGATGCTGCAACTTACTACTGTCAGCAGTATAATAACTTCCCTCGCACAGTGATCCGCCCCATGACATAAACCACCAGGAAGCAGAAGTGTGAGGCTGGGCTGCCCAGCGGCTCCTGCTGGTGTCTCCAACCGCAGAGCAAGTTCCCCATATGCAGCCGGGCTTGGAAGGTCCCGGGAAGGAATGGGTGGAAGCGTCCCAGGAAGCTCCTCTATGTCCTAACTTTCTTTTCAGTTTCACAATCCTGATGTAATGAAGGACACCAATCCAATAAGTACACTGGAGTCCTGTGGATTGCGGATCATTTTGTATTCACCTGGCAACAACAGATGAGCTCTTCTATGAATTCCAAGGAATCATTTTTAGTGGCTATTATCATTTGCAGATCTATACAGACAGCAAAATTTAAAGTGCCCATGTGTCTTTCATACCCCTGCCCCTACATCTAAACTTCACTAGCATAAATTGCAATTTTGTTGCAATCAATCAAGATAGATTTCAACTCAAAGCCAAGAGTTCCCATCAAGATTGACTCTAGCTGTTGAACATTTTACCACAATGCAACGGGGTGATGACGTGTGGCCAGGTTATTGGTGTGATGCAAGGTTTCATTTCCCTGAACAACACTGTCCACTGTCTTCCACCTTTGCCTCTCTTTTGTCCTCCAATTTCTGTGAGCCAATCATGTCTAACCATAGCTAGAGTTTTTCCTTTTCTGGAAGAATAAGATCTTGAAATTTACACTGTGAATATTTTCAAAAGCTAACTTCAGAATATACTGCTATGGGACATGGCAATAAAAAATAATAGGAAATACACATAGCTACCCCAAGACTATCTTCACATCATCTATAATCATTGCAAACATCCTGGCTTAGTGAAGGTGTTAGATGCTTTGCTATGCAACACGGTGGCGTTTTCATAGTACTGATTGTATCTCAGAGGTCACCAGAAGGGTCCAGGTTACTTGGGCTGAATATTAAGAGTCTATTGTAATTGAAGACATGCAGAGTAATTTTTCAATTCATGTTTATTTCAAGTCAATTTTGTGGATACATCCTTGACATAAATGCTGATACCCGTACAATGAGTTAATCTCCAGGTGGGACCCAAGAGCTCACGGTGTTCTTTTCTATATTATTCAGGGCCATTCACTGCTTCACCAAACCCAGGTGAGTGTCTTTCTGTGCTGGGCAGGGAAGGTCCCTTTGCTCCTCCTGTTCATATGTTTTGTGAGCAATGAAGGAAAAAAAAGAGGTTTCTTTTCATCCTGAGAACAATGTCTCCTTCCTGAGTTGTACATCTCCACATGTGCTTTCGAGGATGGGGACTCTCGAGCGCCTCACATAAACACAGCACTTCAGGCCAGTGTGGGCTGAGACTGAATTCTTGGGCCAACAGCAGGATTTGTCATGGCCCGCACAGGACCGACACCATGCTCTTCCTTTTCCTAATCAAGATAGTGGCAGTAGAGGAGGCTGCAGTCATTACGGGGACACAGTGTGCAGGTGGCACATTCTTTTTTTTCTCCCCAGAAAAATCTCAGATTCAGCAGCAGAAAGCATTTTCTGTACAGTCCATTCCCTGCTTCCTCACCCCACTGACAGGGTGTTTGGATTTACACCTACTCCCCAGGTTTTCTTTACTAATTTTTTGCCTTTTCAATAGGATGCATGAATTAAGATTAGTTTTTGTATTCTAAAACACACCAAGCACGTAAAAATAGCCATTAACAAATGTCTCAATGACCTCCACTCCATCATGTTACTATTGTGAATCGATGGAATAAAGTCTGAAAAAGCAAGTAGTGCGAACATTGGAAACGCTGATCAGTTCCTGGTGGAAAAGATGACCATGTGACCTTCTAGGAGCACTGCTTGGCTGAGTCTTGAAAACCTATTGTCAGAGTGGCACACCCAACAGGAGAACTTTTAGGTCTTTGACTAAAGTACTTGAAAACAGCTTGTGTAAACTTCTTCAAACTAGCTTTGTTCATACTAGCCTGAAGTGAAAACTACATCAATGGTCTTCAGCACATGAAGGAATAAATTATGACATGACCATCCATCAAATACTAGTCAGAGATAAAGAAGATCACATAATTAGTACATGAACAATAGGAATTGACAGAGCAAACAACTGCTACATAAAAATAGAACGCAACTGAGGAACAGAAGCTGTATAGATGTTTGAATGCAATTCTAGAGAAGGAAAATCTAACAGAGAGTGACACCTAATAGACCTGAGTTTGAAAAGACAATGGGGTGGGCAGGAAATTGGTTTCTAACCATGAAGGAAAAAACTTTGACTATTCAGGACAGTTTGTTATCCCATGGTAAGTTTCCCAGTGTAATGTTGATAGAAATTACACTGAATTGGGCTGGAATATAGCTCGGTAGCTCAGGCCCTGCCTAGCTCGTGTTAAGTTCTGAGTTCCATTCCTGATACCAAGAAAAAGAGAAAAATGAAAAGAAAAAAATTGAAAGTCACACTGAATCTGTGATTCACTGTAGATGGTGTGAATATTGTAACAGCATTTATTTCTCTGGCACAGGAACATGGGGCTTCTTTCCTTTTATTTGAGGCTTGAAGTCCAACTGATCAATGTTTCTCTGCTGTGATTGTATGTGCGTGTTTGTACCCTGTTTAAATGGTGCTTATTAGGCCTGAAGCTTTGTTCCTGTGCTTTCTCTGGAAGCTTACTGACTCCTACCTGTTGACTAGGATATTCTATTAATTTATATTTTTATGATGTCATACATATCAATATTTTCCAACATGCACTTAATTTCATATTCATTTCCAATTGCTCCTGACCATTTTTTTTCAAAAATGGCATAATTAAGCCATTTTAATTTCCTTTCATATCTTTGAAGAAATGATAGTGTCTAAATGATTGTGTCTATGCGGAACTTTTTCTGGCCCCTTCCTTTTGCTTCTTCAGCTTATTTATCTTTGTTCCTCTGGAGCAGTACACTACACTGTCCTTCTCAAGTTCTATGATAGAGCCCGCCCACTGTTGCAAAGCTGGAGGTCAAGCCAGGGTCCTATGCACGCTAGGCAAGTGCTCTACTATTGAGCTACATCCCCATTCCCTATGCAACTCACACAATGGAATTTTATTCATATTCTTTTTTATTCCTTAAAATTTTTGTGACTGGTCTAGGCCTTTGATTTATTTTTTTATGTTCTAGTAACTGCTCATCGCAGTAGGGTGATGCGGAGAACCACCCAGGGGGCAGCTCCTGGCTGCGCAGAAAGCCCTGCTGCTGAGTTCAGTGAAATGGGGCCAGGGAGCTGAGGAAAGAGGGACCCAGGGTGGTCATCTGCGGGGTTGTGGTCATCCTCTGACCTATGCTACTAAGCCTCAATGAATGCTGCCCTTTGAAAATTCCCACGAGGGTGTGGCTGCACTAGGGACCCTGGGAAGGAAGCAAGCACACACAGGAGAGCAGTATCTGGAGGACAAATGTCATGCAGAGACTTATTTCAACCCTACACAATCAGGCACTTAGGATACACACTTAGCATAACTGGACTTAAATAATTACAATAATGCTGTTGTCATAAACTGGGTGAGTACGTAGGTGCAGGTGATGAGACACAGCCGAACTGAAGAGAACCAGGGCTTAGTAGGTTTGTACTGAGCATGTCTGGCTGAGTCTAGAGGTTTGGCCAGACAGGAAGACACCAGGATCAAGATCTGCGAGAGCAGAGAAGAAGCTCTGTGCTCAGGCTGATCCAAGGACCTTCTATCCTGACCACCTGGGCGTGGCCTGCTCACATATGGATGACAAGAGACCAGCATGGGTGCAGCTGCACTCTCAGCTCATCCGGGTCCTGCTGTTTTGCATGCCCCACCCAATCCCCTCTGCTCTGTGGAGCCAATATCATGGCCTGGGCTGGACCTCTGGGACGATCTGCACCAGGGAGGACCAAGCGTGCACCATGGAAGTCCTGGCTCCACTCCTCTGTGTCCTGGTGCTCTGGGTCCCAGGTGAGGGTTGTGTGGGATACTTCTGCATATCTATGAAAACTCAGTGTTGGCTTCTATGTACAGTACTAGCAGCGCTGTTTAATAAGCATAATAATTAAAGTTCAGTGGAGATCAATGAGCTTAGCCCTGGTGAGAATTCAATTGGTATGCCGTAGATTACATGGTGGACATTACTGTTTTATTTTTTCTATCTCATACTGCACTGGACAAACCCAGTTGACCCTGTCTCCAGCCTCCCTGGCTTTTCCTTCAGGAGAAACAGCCACTCTCAGCTGCAGGGCCAGTCAGAGTGTGAGCAGCTACCTAGCCTGGTACCAGCAGAAAGCCGGGCAGGCTCCCAAGCTCCTCATCTCTGGTGCCTCCACCAGGGCCACGGGCATCCCAACCTGGTTCAGCGGCTGTCAGACTTCACCCTTCCCATCAGCAGCCTGGAGCCTGAGGATGTTGCAATTTATTACTGTCAGCAGTATACTGAGTTCCCTCCCAAAGTGATTCAAGCGATTATAAAAAAAACTTCCCCGGGGAAGCAGAAGTGTGGGGCTGGGCTGCCCCAGCTGCCCCTCCTGTTGGCTCCACCTGCTGAGTCTCTCACATGTAGCCAGGCTTTGAAGGTCACAGAGAGGGCTTAAAGTAAGCCCACTAGAAGACTTTTCTGCTCTGTAATTCATCCCTCCACCGGGTCCTAGCAACAGCCACCTGAGGATTCCTTTTCTGATTTAATGAATGGCAGAGGTTATCACACTTTGGTCATGTTCCAGCCATAGGGTGCTGGGTTAGTTGTACTCTCCTCATTGAGGAATGATGTGGTGTAAAAAGCATGTTTCTAGCTGTGCATGTGAGGGTGTTTCCAGGCAAGAGTGGGCTGTGACTCTGCAAATCCTTCCCTGATGGTAACTAGCACCACCCACTAGGCTGGGGTCCCGGATGGAACTGAAAAAGCAAGAGAAATGGGGGACATTTCTCTCTTTCCACTTTGTTCCTTCTTAAATGGGTTCACTTTTTGCTTCTATTAATCTTCTGTACACAAAACTAGAAGGTTTTATATCTTTGAACCTGGATTGAATCACTGGCTCTGTCATGGCCCTCTGGCTTTTGACTTGAAGTGGTGCCAAGTCCCTTCTCTCCCTGTCCTTCTGAAGCATCAGGCTTCTTGGATCAAGACACTGCTGACTTCTCTGACTCTCCAGCCTGAAATCAGGTTTCCTAGGCCGTCCAGCCTCTGTGGCGCTGAGAGCAGACGTAATTAATTCATTCCTATATATAAACATATATTCCATTTTCTCTGCTTTCTGTGGGGAACAATAACAGGACTATTGCATGACATAAACAACAAAGGATAATTCATTATAGATGTGGTAATCATGATTATAGAATATAGAATATTAATCCTACAGGGTGTGCTGGTCATGGGAGGCCCGCCTGAGAATGGCTGCCAGCAGCACAAGAGGCTGCACTGGAGGAGCTGGAAGGAGGCTGCTGGGGAAGCTGTGGGGAGCTGCTGGGGGCTGCTGGTTCTCTTGGGGTGTTCTGCTGGAGGGCCTGGCCATGGTGGCTGTCCTGGTGAACTTTGTTCTCATCAGAGGAGGAGCTCAGGATCTCCCTGTTGCTGCGGATGACTATGGAGCTTTGGGGGAGCTCTGGCTCTTACGTTGAGTGTTGCTTCCTGGATACACTTCAGATCTTTCATCTTGCTAGCACAGATCCTTCATCCCACTGGCATAGACTTTCTAGCTTCTACCGCTGACTTTTGGGCCTTCCCAGGGCAGATCCGCACGACACATTGTCAGGGACTCTAGGCTTCCAGCTCCACATGTGGGAGGCATGCTATGAGCTCGAGGTCTTCAGCTGGACTCATGCAGGGCATTATCCTGCCATCCAGGTTCTCATCTGGATTCTTTGGTCTTTAGTATGTGGACAGATTTCCTTCAGCCTTTGTATGTAATTTGCAAAATGTGTCCTGTATTGTATTGTTCCCTTGCAAATCCCTCAAGTTGTATAGGATCTAATAGCAGAATCCCGAGTGTGTCTTCCACTCCCTGCCCAGCCTGAGGAGCCCAGCGGTGGTGGTGCTGATGGTCTCAGCTGACTGGAGCACACTGCAGATGCTTCTAGACTTTTCCCTTCTGCCTGCCTGCCTCGCTGAAGTTGTGAGTGAGAACTGAACCCCTTGATTTGATGTCAAGCACCTAATGAGAGGGCTCCCCATTGGCTAAGTTTTTGGAATTTCTAAAGTGAAAAGTCAATTTGAGAAATGTGCTTCTAGAAATGTTTTGGTAGTGGGGAGTGAAGATCTGACCAAAGTAATAAACAACAAAAAAAATACACATATATGAATATAACACACACACACACACACACACACACACACACACACATATATATCCCTATATATATGCAAAATGGTATTGTGAGGGTTGGGTCATTCTGGCGAGAAAAAAGAGGAGGTTGAAGGGAAGAAACATCTGAAGAATATAATTAAGGAACACGATGCAGGTGGAATTACACACAAAAGTGGTGGGAAGCAGAAACATTAAAGCTAGTATTTGGTTTAAAAGTGTGAAAGTTTATGCTAAAATAGGAAAAGTCCGTTGGGATTCAGCTTTTAGGACCTGCTTAGGAAGAAGAACGCATCATCCTAAGAGCTGAGCTGTCTTCCGCATCATATGCATCAGCAGCACATTCTTCTGCAGAGCACATCAGTGTAACAAATGCCATCCACAGAAAAGCTGACCT